TCTGTCACACACCATTCTTCTCAGTCTTTTTCTAATGACTCTAGATTTGTGTTTTCTCATTCTATAGCTGAGGTTAGAAAGCCTGAGAAACCTAAGCAAAAGACTAAGGCTGTCAAACCTCATTGTGATGTGAATGATGGCAAATCGAAAAAGAAAAGATTTGAAGCTTTAACCTTTACTGTTTGTGATGATGTTTACCTGACTTATCCCCTCAAGGTTTATTCAGCTAAACACCTGAAACGGTTATCAAGGGAGAAAATCTTTACTTCTCAGAAATCTGTTCCATCATTCACCAGCGCTGAAAATTCTCATGCACCTGCAATAACTCAAAAATGGGTTCCTAAATCAGAATCCCAGTCATATAGCTCTCCAAAAGCTTCAAAAGAGACTGGTTTAGGAACTAAAATTAAACAAAAATTTCAAAAATTGTTTTGTGCTAAAAGGGATGGACCCACCCTGAAATGGGTACCAAAGGTTTCTTTACCTTTTGCAGGTCCGTCATGTGTGGTAACTGAACCGATTGCTCCACACGCATGGCGGGTATGAAGACGAGCTGTGAGCAATTAACTGGTGCACATTATCAAAAGGAGTATGGGCGTGTATACTCCTCACTGAGCTGAAAAATCAACAAATGCACACCTCAACACTGACACATGACAAGAACAAACAACAAATGCTTATTCTGAGGGGGAGTGTTTCTTTTTCACTCCTCCTGGTGCCTAACAACGAAGAAAGCACATTCCAAGGGGGAGTCTTCTACTTTACTCCCCGGGTGATCAACAACACCTTGCACATTCTGAGGGGGAGTTACATTTTTCTCCTCGTGACGCCAATCAAGGATCAATGCAAGACAACCCAAGAAAGGCATAAGCAAATCAGCTAAAGTCCCCCAGGTGTATCTCCAACAATTTTGGGCAACACTTGGCAAGGACGCTGATGAGGATGAAAATGAGATAGATGACGTGCTGACCGCCACTATCAAGGACACTAAGGTCACGATTATAACGGAGTTGATGCATCAAGTGCTGCAAATCCCAGAGTCGGATGAATATGATGAGCTGACCACCAAAGAAGATATCATGGAGGACATAATCACACTGGGCCACGCTCAACCTATCAGGCTCTTTTCTGAAGTCAAGCTAGGAAGACTACTCAGACCGTGGAAGACTATGATGGCTACACTAAACAAGTGCTACACTGGCAAACACACCGGCTTTGACTAGTGCAACATCTACTTTTTGACTGTCTTCCATGATGGTTTTCACTACTGGTGTGAGGCTTCTCCAAAACAACTCCATCCATCCACTGAAGACTATCAACGAAGAACGTCATCAAGTATCTCCAAAAGATGACTAAGCGCTTCTTGGATTCCACCATTAGGCCATGAGTGCACGAAGCAATAACCGCTCGGGCACAGGAATTCAGGTTCACCCCAGCGTTTCTTAATGACATCATCCAAACTCTAACTCAACCCTCATTCTTTCACTCCTGACAGCAACTCACTCCAATCCTTACCCTATCCCATTTGACCATTTACCATGCCATTCGATGACCTAGCATCCATTATGCTAGCGAGAATTCTGGAAACCAAAGAAGCTCCACTCACTGACAAACAAAGAGCTCTTATTGTGGTACTTGAAACCTAAAGCACATGCAATGACAGTCTCCGCGGTCACAAACGTTCACATGAGGACCCTGATTATTCGGCTCCTCATGAGGGGGAGGATAAGAGGCAACGGATACTCGAGCATAGTGCTTCATCTAGCCAATAACCCCAACCTAAACCCTCAAACAACCAAGCTAAATGCAAGAATTATCTCGAGGATGCAGATTTTGAGGGGAGTTTTCAATGTTCTCCTCCCAAGCGCCAAGCGCCAATTATCATCAAAGGCATCCTACTGAGTGCTACAGTTGAGGGGGAGTACAAAGAGAAAAGAGCAAAGAGAAATGAGAGACAAGTCCCAATGGCTTAGTAAACCCAACTAAGCCTACCCAAGGGGCAAAGCCGAGAGTGAGTGGGTAACTGAGTGAACACTATGAGAGTGAGGAAGCAGAAGGCTCATGTGAGCGAGAAAACAATAATCAATGACATGTCTGCTACCTCAATTGCGCTTTCAATTGAGAGAATTACTCCCAGTCACTCAAATACTCCGGACAATCCCCAAAGATTCAGGACTGAATTTATTCAGATCCCGGGTAGAAGTCGCTACATCTTGTCCAAACGGCGCGTGCACAACCCTACCCTAGACCACTCACTTGTCTCCCAACAGACATGTGTTTAATCATATTTCACGGGGAACCTCATCTATTATTACTGTCTCCTTCCGAGGCAAGTGATACTGACTATAGTGGCCTTAGCCCCATGCCACTGAATATTCATTGATCACGTTGTGTCTAGTTATCTCACTCCCAAATGTGTTTTGAATTTTCTAGGACACAAACACTTTTAGAGTCAGTTGCAGGTCTTCACGACCCGCGAGAACTTCCATAGGGCTCATCTACTATAGATGTAGACCAATTATTGGAAGGAAGTCCTGCTATTACAACCTAGAAATCACCAACATGTTCAGGCCATCGCTTTAGAGTTTATCTTTATGGTGATGATAACAGGTGTCTACGCGACCCCGGGGGGCTACAAGGTTTTCATTGCTGGTCTTTATGATCATGCCATAACAACCAGAGTGACATCTACTTCAAATGCTTCACAATGACTGATTGGAAGTCCTGTTAGAACTTTATTGCTTCTATCATTTTACACAGGTCACACATCGGTGTTTACATTGATGTTGTGATAACGGAACACTATGGTGTATTCGGTTTTTATCTTATTTTTCTTTTTTGTTTTTGTTTTTCAGAATAAAAGAATAAAGGCATGACGCCCCGAATCATCGGATCGTCATGAGGGGGAGAGTGGTCCACATACTGTTCACTATCAACAAATCATTTTTAGACACATCTCTCCTCCATCACAAAAATCAACAACGGCTCTCTATTCTCTCAAATCATCAGAAATGCCAAGACAGCTTCAAATCAAATTGTCAGCTATACCCAGAAGTTAACCATCTCTTTTGGGAATGCGACCGACGAGATCTCCTCAAAAGCAATCTTTTTCCGCTGTGCCACCTACACAATGGAGGAGACAAAGGTCGGGTAATCAAATTCTGAAAATGAATCCCATGCGCGTCTGGAAATCATCAGAACATTCATTCTAGAGGCGTCATCGGACTTAATTCAAGCTGATCAAGAGCAACTTCTGGAAGGCAAGGACTACATGCAAGATACTGAAGATTCTTCAACTCCCTGACATCAAAGAACAAATTGCCATGAAGACATCAAAGAGGAGATTGAAAGGATTTCTTCAAAAAGCCTTCTTTAGAAGCTGAGTTCAAAACAAAGACAAAGGAAGCTGAGTTGCACTGAAGATCAAGACAAAAGAGGAGCAACTCAACCAATCTTATCTACGCTCTCCTCTACATTGCTGAATAAACACAAAGACAAAGATATTCGCACTACAATGCTGATTGAACATGATTGAACACCAAGGGGGAGATTGTTAGGACTTTTTCTGGTGTCCAATCCTGATAAATATCTTTGTATTTGTGTAGCTATTTTGTCTAGATATTTCAGCTATTATTAGACTAGCTTTCTTAGGAAGTGTGTAAAGTGTGTTATTGGGCCCAATCATTAAAAGAGCCCAATCATGCTTAGGTCACATCACACATTCCCTAGGCATATAAATATTGTCTTTAAGGGAATGTGCAAAGAGGCTTTTACAGATTTTTCACGTATACATCTAGTAAGACAGAGAGGCTTCCGCACTGTGTTTTTCGAATATTGCTCTGTATTAGAAAACATCATTCTGATATCGAATACACTGTTCTTCTCTTCTCTATTTGATGCTATATTGTTAGTTTGATTGTTGAATACAGGGACAAACACACATCAATCCCAATCGACATACAATAGTCGTTAAATGATTGGGAAGTAAATTCTCCTGCATTATCAAGTCGGATTCTCTTTATAGAATGATCCGGAAAATGAGCTCTTAATCGTATAATTTGAGCGAGGAGTTTAGAAAATGCTAAATTTCTAGTCGATAAAAGACTAACATGTGACCAACGTGTTGAAGCATCAATCAACACCATAAAATATCGAAATGGTCCACATGGTGGGGCTATCGGCCCACAAATATCTCCTTGAATCCTTTCTAAAAATGCAGGTGATTCAGTTGCAATTTTGTTCATAGAAGGCCTGATGATCATTTTGCCAAGAGAACAGGCCTTACAAGGAAAATCACTTGATAATGGAACCCTTATATTCTTTAATGGGTGTCCAAGTGAAGTCTTAATTATTTTATACATCATTACATGGCCCGGGTGACCTAAACGGTCATGCCACAACATGAATGTTTTCTGATCATCTAACTTTGCGTTAGAAACCAAATTTATTTCAAATGGACTAATATGAGTGAAATATAGTCCTGAGGAATATGCTGGCATTTTTTCACAAATATATTTAGTGCCAGGTTTAGTTGTCGTAAGACAAATATATTCCTTTTGGTTTTCATTCATGGTTTCTATGTGATAACCATTTTGACGCATGTCTTTAAAACTTAATAAATTTCTCCGCGATTTGCTGGAGTATAAAGCGTCATTTATAATTATTTTTGTCCCGTTAGGGAGCATCACATATGCTTTCCCAGAGCCTTCGATGAGCTTCGCAACACCTGATATTGTATTGACTTTAGCTTCAACTAAAGTCATTTGAGAAAAATATATTTTATTTCTCAGAATGGTGTGCGTTGTGGCGCTGTCTATCAGACATAGCTCTTTATCATTTGAGTGATCCATATCTTCAATATATATAAATAAATAAGCATAAGTTTGATATGCAAGTAACACAAATTATGCATCATATATAACATTAAAGTACATATATTACATCATTATTTATGAAAACAACATAAAGGTAATCTAAAGAAAAAGTACACGATGACATAAAAGTCTTATAATTTATTTTGTGTTATTTTGATCAGTGGCAAATGCATCATCCATTATGCTATCATCCATGAAGAAGTCGGACACATCAAATTTTGGCAGAGATGGAGTTGTGTCATTGACATAATTCACTTCCACATTTTTGCCTTTGTTTAAATTCATGGAAGCTTGAAATAACTCCACAAGATGCTTTGCAGTACGGCATTTGTTAGCCCAGTGTCCCGTCATGCCACATTTGTAACAAGTCGTTTTCACCGAGGTTTTTGTAGGGCGATTTGTTTGATGGGCTTTTTGTTTGCCCTTGCCCTTGTAATTTGGTCTTTCGACCCGTTTATATCCTCGGTGGGACTTGTTATTATGACCACTAAAATTCCCACGTTTAAAATGCCTTCGTGTGCCACTGTGTATTGCGTTTGATTCAGTGACAATGTTATGTCCAGATGGACCATAAATCGAAGGACTAGAACCAGTGGGTCTCAGATTATGATTTTTCATCAAAAGGTCATTATTTTGCTCAGCTACCAATAATACCGATATTAAGTCGGAGTATTTTTTAAAACCCTTTTCTCTATATTGCTGCTGTAGCAGCATATTAGAAATATGCATTGTAGAAAAGGTTTTCTCCAACATATCAGCATCGGTGACTTTTTGTCCGCATAACTTTAGTTTAGATGTTATTTGGAACATAGCAGAATTATAATCACTGATTGATTTAAAATCCTGGAATCTTAAATTGATCCAGTCATACTGAGCTTTTGGCAAAAGTACCTTTTGTTGGTGGTCATACCTCTCTTGTAAATTGTCCCATAATTCTTTTGGATCATCAACCAAAAGATATTCAGATTTGAGACTTTCATGGAGGTGGTGATGGATGAAAATGATAGCTTTCGCTTTATCTTGGGAAGATGATAGATTATTGGCTTCAATTGTATCTTCCAATCCATTTGCTTTTAAATGTGCCAAAGCATCAACTTTCCATTCCAGATATTTTTGACCGGACAGATCAAGAACGTCGAATTCTCTTTTGCTTATGTTGGCCATTATATAACTACAAAATTATTAAATTAATTTTAATGAATATAAGTGTCAATAATTTGTAATAGTTATTTAGTAGTCATAATGATTACGTAAATGGGCTTTAGGAATGATCCTGAAATACTAGAAGTAATATTTGCCATGATATACTACAAAATGATTGGTTTAACATTTATTTAGTAAAGATGTATATAGAAACATTATTTGTTATTAACTAAAAATACTACGTAGTACTACGTTATAGTATAATATATATATATACCAACTAAACTAAAAATTGGAGTACGTAATAATTTTTCTTAGTACTCCGTATTATGGAGCTACCAACCATCTTTATTATTATACCAGTAAAAATATAATAAGGTGAATAAGAAGGGAGAAAAAAAAAATTTAGAACTCGTGACTACATATTTCAAAAAAATGGAGTTTGGTCTGGTGCTAATCAATAGATAACACACCGAATGCCTTTTCCTTTTTTCTTTTAAATATTTAAATTAAAAGTATGATAAGGACAAAATAAGCTCATACACCTATCCTTACACTCATAGAGTTGTGATGTTTCTCTCGTGACTAGCCATTTTAATTTTCTTTTCCTTTTTTGTTTATGAAGAGAGTACACCCGTGATTATTAGGTGCAGTGAACTTCATGCATGCAAACTTGTGTATCAGACTTTGACAGACCTGTGACTCTCTATCTAGCTAGTTTAAAATATCAAAAATTCCTTTTGTACACGTTTTTGTACCCATCAGTACACGCATGTGTCTGTGAGAGTTTTTTTTTGTCTGTGAAGTGCGGTCCACAGACAAAAGCTGGTTTGTTTTGTCTGTGAAATTTTCCACAGACAAAACAAGCGAACTTATGTCTGTGGACCGCGCTTCACAGACAAAAAAAAGTCTCACAGACACATGCGTGTACTGATGGGTACAAAAACGTGTACGCCAAGAATGGTTGTTAAAATATAATGGATTATGTTTCATTTTAATTTGCTTTCTCATACTTACTTAGTATTGCTCTCTTGAGGCATGCATGTTTATTAGTTCCTATCTACTACCTATTCCCGATTCTTCTTTTAAATATTTGTCCTGCTCTTCTTCTCTTATTACGTATGGCGATTGATTTATTTTTCCACATGTTCTCTTCTTCAAATTAAGAGCAGTCCGAGTATGAAGCTCAATTAAAGAATTGAAACTACTTATTCACAAGGTATGTATGGTATCTATATTATCTTTTCATACGTATATGATAGAAGTTTTTATTCTGGTTTGAGCACTAAAAGAAGATAATAAATACGGAGTATTGATGTTAATACCTGCAGGAGATGGTGATTTCTTGAAGATTTTTGAGCAGATTCGTGCTGATAACGTGTTGTAAAATGAAGAAGATGAACACCAAACTTGAAAGATAGATATATTGATAAAAAAAACCTCTAAATCACTTCTTCTTAATATAACTGATAATTTCTGAGTTTCTAAGTACATTTACAAGGCATCACCAAACCCCTATTTATACTGATGGAGCTTGGTGATGAATAATCAAAGAATCATTCTACATAATATGCTGGCAACATTAAACCTAGCCATCTGTTTATTACAAGGATGGAAATTGGATTAGTGTCCTGATGACAAGGATGAACAATTCACACTTGTCATTCTCAGGAATTTACAACAAAATCAAAGTTGATGTATAAAATTAATCTTAAAACACAAAAATTAATATCACAATTTTTGTATATTTAATAAAAATGTGAAAACCTTATCAAAATATTATGCGTCATATTTTTCTTTCACAGCTCCATGAGATGGAGACTGTATTAGGATGTTTTCTTTTGGACTGTTTTCAGTCACAGACCAGATCAGACCAGACCAGACCAAACTTCCGTAGTTATAAAATACACAGAGACCAGACGTTTATCAGACCAGACCAGACTTTTGTAGTTATAAAATTCACAGAGACCAGACGTTTATTAGACCAGACCAGACCAGACCAGATAAGACTGACAAATTTCACTTCAAAAGAAAACATCCTTACAAATTAGAGCTCATCATAGAGAATATTTATGTTGTTTATTTTATTGATAAAAATAGAGGGAATTCCCTAAATAGGAGTAAAAACGTTTTGAAATTCCAAAATAGGAGTATCATGTTTTTTATTCCTTGAATAGGAGTAATCTACCAAGTTTGGAAGAAAATGCCATGTTTAAAAGCCTTGTAATGCCAAACTTGGCAGAAATTTACTCCTATTCAGGGAATAAAAAACATGATACTCCTATTTTGGAATTTCAAAACGTTTTTACCCCTATTTAGATCAATTTCTGATAAAAATACTCGTATCTCATTAAAGCTAATCCTATTTTCCATATTTAGCCATACATAAAAATTAAAGGGTTTCTTTATTTCGATGTAGTGCCGCGTGGGTTGTATGAGGTTGGAGTCACTCATCAGATATCTACCCCCTTACCAATGAAGAAACTAACTACAATCATCATGTTTTAAAAAGGTGGGCTTCTACGGCACTCTAATGAGTTTTTTAACTTTTACAAATTTCTTTAAATTAAACATTGATATTCATCGTTATGTTTAAGTGTAACTGCTAATTTTGAGCTTCCAGCTGTGTAATGCGTTTTTTAACTTAGTTTTTACGAATTTCTTTAAATAAAACATGGATAGTGGTCGTTATGCTTAAGCGTGAAACCTAATTTTGTTAAACACATAAATAGGAAGGGTCGGCTCAATGGATTAGGAGACACGGTGCAAATCACGTAAAATAGGTCTTATATTAAATAAATATAATATAAAAAGCAGCGTTTAAAACATACTCCAAAAAAAATTGCAATCAAATGTGACATTGAGATATAATCATAATTCGAACCTCAACAACCAAAATCGGTAAAAAAAAACTAAAACCGAAAATAAATGAATTAAATTCATGAACTAAAAAAATAAAGAGTAGGGTATTACTGAAAAAACTACTCCCTCCGTCTCTTAAAACCAAGTTCATCCAAACTGTACAAGGAATTTGTGTTATTTACTATAACTAGGCCTTATCTAGGCCTTATGTAATAAAGAAGTTACACATTTATAATTAACAATTGCATTTTAATTACATATAAATATTAGTATTTAATGTTTGTATTTAAAAACAAAATACTAAAATAGGAATTTTTAATCAATTATAAAAGGAGTTTGTATATTATGTAGACTATATTTAAAATTTTGGACATTCTGAATCGAGGAGCCTTGTGTGCGGTAGCACTTTATATGTAACGGGTGACTCACGCCATCTTAATAGAAATCTTAATAGAACGACCCCTCACCGTACCGCCCCATTTCTCTGACCAGACAAATCCATCACCTCCACCCATTACTGATCCTCATTCTAATACACATCCACCCATAAATCCCCCTACTCGATCGACCTCCGTCAGCCCAATTCAAAATATTATAATGGCACCTATATCAATGTTCACACCCATTATTGAACCAACGAGTGTTAAACAAGCCTTGTCTCATCCCCGATGGCGTGCTGTTGTGGAAGAGGAAATGGCTGCTCTTCACCGGAACCATACATGGACGCTTGTTCCACGCACGTCACAGGTACCTATTACGTGCAAATGGCGTAGCGAACTCTTCCACTTTTGGATTTGAAATGGAGCACCCAATTGATCGAATTTGGAACTTATCTCTTTTAACAATGTAGATGGTGATTTAGCATAGCCACACATATAAATAGTATAAGTAATCTTAACTTTATATGTAAAAGAATTATTATTAATCTAAAATAAGTTTGACTAATCTAAAATAAAAATTTATGTTTTTATGAAGACTTGCATATTGCTTCAAGGTATATGTTGTGTATTAGAAAGTTTAAATTTTCATGTGCGTGAGTTGCATATTTCCCGAGTTTCATCTTTTTAAGAGCGAACTTCATCTTTTTATACTCAAGTTACATCTTCTAATTATGCGCCACTTGCATATGAACTTGCATCCAAAACTTACATTTTACATAAATCTAAGTTACATTCTTCATCAACGAGAAATGTCATAACATGAGTTTCATCACAAAATAAACCATTGTTATTGAAACAAAAAAATGTACTAGTATTTTTTGGCAATAAAAAGAATTGAAAAAAAAAAAGATTTAGGTACAAATATGACCCTGATATTATAAAGAAAACATATTCACTATTTACGTAAAGTATTTGAGTAAGTAAACTTTTTCCATTGTTTATACATTGAATCATTGTTTTATTTCCCTTTTGATTGACCTACAGTTACATTTCTCTCAACGTGAGTTACATTGCTTTATGCACGAGTAACAACATTTTGCAACTGAAAAAAAAAAATGTTCCCACGTGGAAGTACTATGCTCATCATGGGCTGCTCCAACGATATAACAAGTGGATATTCACCTCTCTAGAGTCTAGACTCAGGGCCATCTAATGAATTTGGAGGTCCCGCTTCTAAATGTAAAACTGAGGCCCCATATTACTATATATTTTTTTTTAAAAAAATATCAATCTAAATACTTATACTCAAATCAATTGAACACTCATTAAAAAGAACTAAAGTGTAAAAGGACCAACGAATAAAAGAAATTGTACTCAAATCAATCTATATTTTTCTTCCTTACTAATTGTATTTTACTGATTAGTATTAGTATATAATATTACTTTGTACTATATAATACTAAAAGAAATTTAAATTTTTGGGACCCTATAAATTCGGGGGCCCTATTCTTGATAATCTATTGAATCCCTAAAAAACGGCCCTGTCTAGACTGTTAAAAAAATTTGATTTTGATATTGTAAACGGATGTCGCTATTTTGATACGAACTTTGAGACAGAATAACTCGAAACAAAACAGACAGCCGATAGGTTTCGTCACACTACGTTATGGTTTATAAGGGCCAAAATTTGCACCCACAGAAGTATGTACGTAAAATATCAATCTGAAATAGCCCACAATCTTCTATTAGACTACTAGGGTGTTTGGATCTGATTCTTAAAACTGATTCTGCTCCTTCATGGAGCAGGAGCAGAATCTGAAATGTTTGGACGAAATTCCAGAAGCACTTTTTGTGCTCTAATTTACTCTCGGAATTAGTTTTTTTAGAAGTTGGGGGTACCAGATTCTGAAAACTGATTCTGATTCTGCTTTAAAAAGGAAGTAGAAGCAGAATCAGTTCCAAACACCCCTAATTCATACTCGTGTCGTATCAAATTTTCTGGTTGATCAGATATACTCCAAAACGTATTTTTTAAAATTGAATACCTCTTAATACACTCAGTTGACTCATGACAATGTAAAGTTCAATATTTTCATTGAAACATACTACGTATATGATAACATGTTTTTACATATTAAAATATTCTGATATTTTTGGTATTAACTGCATATGGGTAATACATTCATGTAAGTATTGATAAAAAATGATACAGATTGAAGAATTGATATCAATCCAATACAAATTTGAAGGCATTGGCAGCAATTATATCAATTCCAAGTAGGACAGGTGCGTACAAGTGAATCACTCATTCAATTAATTTGTTCACTAAACACGTAATTTTTTTATTTCACGAACTGAATTATGTAATAAGCAGAAAAGGCAAGGTTGAAGTCACTTTTCTGGCTGTATTGGCTGAAGTTACTGTAGAGGATCATTTTAGCTATTTTTTCATATAATTTTTTATTTTATTTATTAATGACAAATATTTCAAATATAATTTTTTCATGAATCAGCAAAATTAGTTAACACAGCGACTTCAGCAAGAATCAACCTCAGCCAATTTTAGAGGCTGTTTGGTAACATTGTTTTTTGACTTATCAGGCTTATCAGTCAACATTTTTTACCCCAGGGGGCGTCGGGGGAGGGGGGTTGGGGGCTCGGGGTAAACTATAATCAATCTCACTCCATTGAGAATTGAATTCAGGACGTCCCATAAGGGAGAGTGAGTCAGCGAGCAGCTGAGCTGGACCGCTTCGTCAAAGCTTATCAGTCAACTTTTTCACCAAACAAGTAACTTTTGCTTTCACGCGCTGAATTGTGTAATAAGTAGAAAAAGTAAGGTTAGAGTTAATTTTCTAGTTAATTGTATTGGTTTAAGCTATCGTAAATGACCATTTTAGATATTTTTACATATAATTTTTCTTTATTTAATTAATAAAGTATATTTTGAAAATAATGTTTTCTTAAATCAGCACAACCAATCAATGCAATTACTTCAGCCAGAACATTATAAATTTCAGTAGAATCAGTCCAATCAGTCAGTTTTCGTGCTACCAAACGGGCTCTTAAAATCATTCTTATTTGGGAGGTATTAAATTCAAGTAATTAGGGAGCTAGCTAGCTGAAGCTAACTCGATCAATTAGTCAATACAGGTGGTGTATGATTAATGGGTAGTGATACGCTTAATCAACAAATTAAGATCAATAGCTTATGTGACATGCGAATGGAACTGATTGCTCTAATAACTTAGATTTACATCTTTTGACAAAAATATAAGGTAAACGGAAATGGCCAAAACCCTAACATTATTGTACTTCGTACTATTTCTTCAATGATGGCGCATATTCATTTTTAACTTTCATTCAAAGATAAGCACATGATAAACTAGGGACCATATAACAAAGCATCATTCCTTGTTTAATTTGGTAACAATTTAACCCACTTATCAAAAGTTATTTGGTAAAGTAAAAGTAATAATATTACCAATTACGGAGTATATGACTTGGATGTATTTATAAATATATATAAATATATAAAGATTATACAGTATATTAAATCAAATAAAAAGTCTCATAGTGCATGCATCACTATCTATCGTAGCTAGGAATATGGCCAACTGATCGAATAATACCCACATTTGCCTAGTGTATATAGGGAGGGGGAAATGGAGAACTGAATCCATCATCCAGCCATCTAACTAATCTAACTCTCACTACTTGATAAAATGGCCACCCTAATATCAATAGGAATTTGCTTGGTTCTCTTTATCCTCCCACTGCAGGGTATGAAGCTATTCCACTTCGACGAGATCAACAGTGTTGCAGGCTTGCCAGTTAGGGGCAGCGTCCAGTACTACAACCTCATGATTGCACGAGACCAACAACACCGCCTCCTCTCCACCACAAAGAAACAGTCGCCGGCCCTCAGTTTTGCTGGGGGAGGTGTCACCACACTTATAGTCTCTCTCGGAAGGTAAGTACGACGTTCATAAATGAGAGAAATGTACACATTAAATCATACCTCTCACGGTTGGTGTTAGTTGTTGTGTTTTGATAGCTTAACTTTTACATGAATTGAATCTACTCGGTACCTTAATTATATACAAATTAATGTTTCAATTGACTGTTATTGGAATTTCTGGTCAAAAAAACATATGTGGCGGTATCAAAACGCCTGCAATAATATCAATAATTGAGGTATGATTCATGCGCTTTAACCCTTCATTCATAAATTACACGAAAACGATTATGCTGAAACATATGTTTGTTACGTATGTTGGTGGATTGATTTAAATATATTATAGCCTTCATTATGCTGAGATTTATGTTGGGACACCGGCCTCCGGCGTCATATTTGGTAGCACTGGGTACGGGGAGTGTCGTGTGTTGGTTGCCGTGTGTGTGTAAATAGGAAAAGAATTTAAACATTTACAACTCCCGCTCTTCATCTGCGAGTGAGGTTGTATTTTGCAACAGCCTTGATTGTGCGCGGCCGGCTAACGATGAGATGGAATGCTCGGCCATGACGCCCACACCATGCCCTTATGAGATTAATTACATGGCAACCAATACCTCATCCAAGGGAATCCTGGTGAAGGATATTCCGTACCTTGAAACTTATGATAATGAAATTTGGCCTGTTCATGCGCCTGTCATATTCGGGCACTGTTAGGTTTTTGTGTACACGTACTTATCTTTGACTAATACTTTCTCCGGCCTGAAAAATAGTTCCCGGCTTTACATGGATCGGAGTTTAAAAAGGTGGAAATAAAATGGAATGTATGATTATGGTTGAATAAGAAAAATTAGTCACACAAAACATTCAAAAAGGATGGCAACAATTTTTTGGGACGACACAAAAAAGCCGGTGAGAGCAATTTTTTGGGACGGAGACAATAACATAAACTTGTAACTAATTACACGTCTGGCTAGCTAATTAACCTAAATAGTTTCAAATTAATTACATCGTTTATACTTGATCAACTACGTACATATAGATGTGGAGAAGTAGAAACAGGGATTATTTTGGGCACGACATCAGTTAACAGGCTGCTTGGACTGGGGCATGGCGCTTTGGGTGTACCCAATCAGATATCATCTGCAGGGGCAGGGTTGGTTCGGTATTCCTTTTCTTTGTGTTTTGTAGCTGACGGCAATGGCCGGATTGCGTTTGGGGATAAAGGTGCCTCTGATCAGCTGCAAACGCCACTAGAAGCTTCACACCAAAAGTGAGTACTATACGTAGCTAATTATTTAATTATGGGGATAAGTGTATATGTGCGTCCCTTAGCTTATTATTTTACCAAGTTTTATAAATTAAAAATTGAGCGATTCAATAAGTTTGTATAAAGAAGAGAGAATTATAGTACCCATAAATTTTGAAAATTATTGAAGTATTCTAGTTTCTAATTAATTTGATGCATATGTAATTTGATCAATTATGTTGCGAGCGGTGTAGCAGTCCGTGGTACATCGTATGGACAGAAGAGATATGGGTGGAAAGTAGTCCGATTGCCGACCTTGCGTTTATAGCCTTGTTTGACTCCGGCACCGCTGTCACCCACCTGACTTAACCATCGTACAACTTAATCACAAAAACTATGAGATATATGCTATCTTCGTTCAAAAACTAAACCATTCTTAGTGGAAAAAATCCAATGTTGCAATGCAATCTTGGTTCAGTCAGGTGGGTGACAGCGGTGCTAGAGTCAAACAAGGCTATAAACGCAAGGTCGGCAATCGGACACTTTCCACCCATATCTCTTCTGTCCGTACGATGTACCACAGACTGCTACACCGCTCGCAACATAATTGATCAAATTACATATGCATCAAATTAATTAGAAACTAGAATACTTCAATAATTTTCAAAATTTATGGGTACTATAATTCTCTCTTCTTTATACAAACTTATTGAATCGCTCAATTTTTAATTTATAAAACTTGGTAAAATAATAAGCTAAGGGACGCACATATACACTTATCCCCATAATTAAATAATTAGCTACGTATAGTACTCACTTTTGGTGTGAAGCTTCTAGTGGCGTTTGCAGCTGATCAGAGGCACCTTTATCCCCAAACGCAATACGGCCATTGCCGTCAGCTACAAAACACAAAGAAAAGGAATACCGAACCAACCCTGCCCCTGCAGATGATATCTGATTGGGTACACCCAAAGCGCCTTGCCCCAGCCCAAGTAGCCCGTTAACTGCTGTCGTGCCCAAAATAATCCCTGTTTCTACTTCTCCACATCTATATGTACGTAGTTGATCAAGTATAAACGATGTAATTAATTTGAAGCTATTTAGGTTAATTAGCTAGCCAAACGTGTAATTAGTTACGTGTTTATGTTATTGTCTCCGTCCCAAAAAATTGCTCTCACCGGCTTTTTTGTGTCGTCCCAAAAAATTGTTGCCATCTTTTTTGAATGTTTTGTGTGACTAATTTTTCTTATTCAACCATAATCATACATTCCATTTTATTTCCACCTTTTTAAACTCCGATCCATGTAAAGCCGGGAACTATTTTTCAGGCCGGTCAAAGTATTAGTCAAAGATAAGTACGTGTACACAAAAACCTAACAGTGCCCGAATATGACGGGCGCATGAACAGGCGAAGTTTCATTATCATAAGTTTCAAGGTACGGAATATCCTTCACCAGGATTCCCTTGGATGAGGTATTGGTTGCCATGTAATTAATCTCATAAGGGCATGGTGTGGGCTCCATGGCCAAGCATTCCATCTCATCGTTAGCCGGCCGCGCACAATCAAGGCTGTTGCAAAATACAACCTCACTCGCAGATGAAGAGCGGGAGTTGTAAATGTTTAAATTCTTTTCCTATTTACACACACACGGCAACCAACACACGACACTCCCCGTATCCAGTGCTACCAAATATGACGCCGGAGGCCGGTGTCCCAACATAAATCTCAGCATAATGAAGGCTATAATATATTTAAATCAATCAATCCACCAACATACGTAACAAACATATGTTTCAGCATAATCGTTTTCGTGTAATTTATGAATGAAGGGTTAAAGCGCATGAATCATACCTCAATTATTGATATTATTGCAGGCATTTTGATACCGCCACATATGTTTTTTTGGCCAGAAATTCCAATAACAGTCAATTGAAACATTAATTTGTATATAATTAAGGTACCGAGTAGATTCAATTCATTTAAAAGTTAAGCTATCAAAACACAACAACTAACACCAACCGTGAGAGGTATGATTTAATGTGTACATTTCTCTCATTTATGAACGTCGTACTTACCTTCCGAGAGAGACTATAAGTGTGGTGACACCTCCCCCAGCAAAACTGAGAGCCGGCGACTGTTTCTTTGACGTGGAGAGGAGGCGGTGTTGTTGGTCTCGTGCAATCATGAGGTTGTAGTACTGGACGCTGCCCCTAACTGGCAAGCCTGCAACACTGTTGATCTCGTCGAAGTGGAATAGCTTCATACCCTGCAGTGGGAGGATAAAGAGAACCAAGCAAATTCCTATTGATATTAGGGTGGCCATTTTATCAAGTAGTGAGAGTTAGATTAGTTAGATGGCTGGATGATGGATTCAGTTCTCCATTTCCCCCTCCCTATATATACACTAGGCAAATGTGGGTACGTATTATTCGATCAGTTGGCCATATTCCTAGCTATGATAGATAGTGATGCATGCACTATGAGACTTTTTATTTGATTTAATATACTCTATAATCTTTATATATTTATATATATTTATAAATACATCCAAGTTATATACTCTGTAATTGGTAATATTATTACTTTTACTTTACCAGATAACTTTTGATAAGTGGGTTAAATTGTTACCAAATTAAACAAGGAATGATGCTTTGTTATCTGGTCCCTAGTTTACCATGTGCTTATGTTTAAATGAATATGCGCCATCATTGAAGAAATAGTACGAAGTACAATAATGTTAGGGTTTTGGCCATATTTGTTTACCCTATATTTTTGTCAAAAGATGTAAATCTAAGTTATTAGAGCAATCGGTTCCATTCGCATGTCGCATAAGCTATTGTTCTTAATTCGTTGATTAAGCGTATCACTACCCATTAATCATACATCATCTGTATTGACTAATTGATCGAGTAAGCTTCAGCTAGCTAGCTCCGTAATTACTTGAATTTAATACCTCCCACATAAGAATGATTTTAAGAGCCCGTTTGGTAGCATGAAAATTGGCTGATTGGATTGATTCTACTGAAATTTATAGTGTTCTGGCTGAAGTGGTTGCATTGACTGATTCTGCTAATTTAAGAAAAATTTATTTTTAAAATATACTTTATTAATTAAATAAAGAAAAATTATATGTAAAAATAGCTAAAATGGTCATTTACGATAACTTAAACCAATACAACTAGAAAAGTAACTCTAACCTTACGTTTTCTGCTTATTACACAATTCAGCGCGTGAAAGCAAAAGTTACGTGTTTGGTGAAAATGTTGACTGATAGATAAGCCTTGACGAAGCGGTCTAGCTCAGCTGCTTGTTGAGTCACTCTCCCTTATGGGACGTCCCGAATTCAATTCTCATAGGAGTGAGATTGATCATAGTTTACCCCGAGCCCCCCAACCCCCCTCCCCCGACGTCCCCTGGGGTAAAAAAGGTTGGCTGATAAGCCTGATAAGCCGAAAAACAGTGTTACCAAACAGCCACTAAAATTGGCTGAGGTTGATTCTTGCTGAAGTGGCTGTGTTAACTGATTCTGCTGATTCATGAAAAAATTATATTTAAAATACTTGTCATTAATAAATAAAATAAAAAAATATATGAAAAAACAGCTAAAACGATCATCTACAATAACTTCAGCCAATACAGCCATAAAAGTGACTTCAACCTTGCCTTTTCTTCTTATTACATGATTCAGTGCGTGGAATAAAAAATTACTCCCTCCGTCCCGCAATGAAGTTCTCAGTTTGACCTACACACATATTTATGTATGGTAGAGTTTTGTTTGACTTTCCAAATTTACCCTTACTTTATGTCAAATCAAGCAAAAAGTGGGTAAAAAGTAAGGGTAGTTGTGACTTTTGAGATAAAAGTGATTTCCTTTTATGAAAATGAGAACGTTTTTTGGGGACATCCATAAAAGGAAAGTGAGAACTTCTTTACGGGACGGAGGTAGTACGTGTTTGGTGAAAAAACTGATTGATAAGCCTAATAAGTCAAAAAGGGGTCGCCAAACGGGCTCCAAGTATGAATGAGTGATTCACTTGTACGCACCTGTCCAACTTGGAATTGACATAATTGCTGCCAATGCTTTCAAATTTGTATTGAATTGATATCAATTCTTCAATCTGTATGATTTTTATCATTACTTATATGATCGAATATATTACCCATATGCAGTTAATACCAAATATTTCAGAATATATTGTAATATGTAATAACATGTTATCATATACGTTCAGGGGCGGACAGGGGCGGAGCCAGGACACTGGGCCGGACTGGGCCGATACAAAGAATATTTTTGGGAAAAAATTTACACGGAATTTTTTACACTAAAAATATAGAGATTTTTAAAATTTGGGCTGGGCCGGGCCAGGGGTGGCCACCCCCTAGCTCCGCCCCTGGGGGCGGATCTAGAAAACTTAGTTATTGGGGGCACCGTGCTTACCAAATAATTCATCCGATTCTAAATAAACTTCACACTTTTCTTATTGGGTAGGTCTAAAATAAGCTTCAAACCTCTATTTTTTGATAACTTTTTAATATAGTTACCTTTATAATACTCTTACTTTATTAAGTCTATTACCTACTTTACACTCATTTTTCTCTCTCACTACACATAACCTACTTTTCTTTAGATCATGATGAGAAAGTTAAAAGAAAAAATTCCACTTTCTTAAAGAACGTAAAGTCAAATTGTGAAATTTATTTAGGACCGGATGGAGTAAAAGTTATAAAAGTTTGAAATAACAAACATATACTTGAATTTAAAGAGATGTAAGTTATATCATTCTTCATAAACAAATTACTCGAAATAGTACTAAAACATTGACAAAGTTCTAAATCAGGATTAAATATGTTTTCTTCTTAAATAATCAAATAAATAAAAGTCAAAGTCCTTAAATTGTCTGATTAAAATTTCAATCCAACTAAACTCAATTTCATACTTGATTGATCATGACATTGTACTCATAGTATTTTTAAGGGAAAGTTCCCAAAATAGGACTGTCATGTTTTTTATTCCCAAAATAGAAGTAATTACTGTCAAGGTTGGAAAATACTGTCATTTTTAGGTCAGGTACTGCCAAAACATGGCAGTAATTAGTCCTATTTTAGGAATAAAAACATGACAGTCCTATTTTGGAATTTTCAAACTTTTTAGTCCTATTTCAGGTAATATTCTCTATTTTTAATCATATTTTTACAAATACAATTTATTTTAATAGTATTTTTGAAAAACCTCTAATTAATAAACCTTCTTTAGAGACTAATCCAATTGTAGAGTGTAGTTTTTAGAAAACTGTTTCGATAGTGGGTAATTATCTTGCTTAACTGCTTAAGCATTCTTTAAGGTTTTGTTTTGAAAGTTCTTTCTTTAGGATTTAGATATTAGAATAATATAAGGTTAAAATCAGGGGCGGACGTACTCTATAACTAGAGTATGCATAGGCTACACCTCAAAAACAATTGTTAGCCTAGTGGCAACATTGTTTAAATAAACTTTTGGGTTAGGCTACATGTCACATGTTTGAAACTGCTCAAGGGCTTCATTTGAACTTTTATTTTTTAAATGCAACACTGATGTGCTACATGTTAGGCTCACTGACTTCCATCTTTGTCGAATATCTTGAAATTTTAAAAATATTTAAATTAAAAATTCTCCACCAGTCACCCATTTATTAAACCTACTAGGCCATTAAGGCTAATACCCAATCGACAATTGCTTTAAGAAAAAGTAAAGAGCAGAGGCGACTTGATCCACTACCACGGCCATTTTTTTTTGTTTTTTATAGGGAGATTTACCTAAATGAGAGTGATTATATTCTTAATTGCCAAAATAGGATTAAAGTATAAAAATTCCCAAAATAGGAGTTATTATTTGTAGCCTGACAAAAATACCCCAGAAGCTTGACAAACAGACTCCCACCAACAAAGAGCATGACCAGCTGCCTCCGGACACCTGCGGCCGCCTCCGTCCACCGCCTGCCGCCGGCCTCGGATGCCGTCTTTAGCCGCCGCAACCTCAAAACTAGCCGCTGTTGCAGATCTGTTGACCGCCGTCGTAGATCTGGCCGCCACCTTCCTAGATCGAAGCAGATCTGGCCTCTGTCGACCGCCGACCCTGCAGATCCAGCCGCCAATCCAGCTGCTGCTACCACAGATCCGACGGACGCCAGCACTGATGCCAAACTTTTGAACAAAATGCCACTTTTGAACAAAATGCCAACATAAATCGAGATTGCCATTTTAATGTCATTTTGTAAGAAAAATACGAAATTTTTAAAGAGTAAAAATGCCAATATTATGGCACCTTTTAAAAAATTTGGAAATTGTAACAACCTGATTGAAAACCACGTTTGCATCCTTCAAGAGCAATTAAAAATTCTAAATGAGAAGAGAGAAAAAGAACTCGGAGCCTAGCATCACCGCCACACCAGATCCAGACGGGAAATTTGAAGAAACGGAGGAGTAAGAGGAAGAGGAGATCTGGCGGTTGCTGCCGCTGCTCGCCGGCGCACGTTGCCGCCGCTAGCCGGTGCACGTTGCTGCTTTCGATGGGGCTTGCTGCTGCTCGTGGTTGAGGCCAAGCAATCTGCTGCGCACAAAGATGCGGCCAGGTTGAATTGAAATTGACGTGCGAATAAAATGACAAGTAGGGTTTGCTATGGGTTTAAATGATTAGGGGTAAAATTGGAAGAAAAGTTTTATTTAGTGAATAAAATTATACTACTCCTATTTTGGAATTTCAGCATTAACTTAGTCCTATTTGGGGCTATTTTCCCTTTTTTATATTCTCTTAATATAATTGATTAAATTATTATTACTCTTAGTGCTAAAAGATAATCATTATTACTCCATATTATGAGTTAAAATTATATTTTAAAATTGTTATTTGGGCAATAGTTTTCATTATAATAAGTTAATAGCTTCATGAAGGTTATAAATTAATTTATTTTTTAACTTCTATGAAAATGTTGTTGTTAATGAAGAACATTTTCATATCGTTTTTATATTGTAAATAATATCTTATAAAAATACATTTTTGTTCAAAATTTAACTTGGTTGACTAAAATCCAAAGATGACAACATTTTAGAGAATGAATGGGGTATTATATACATTTATACTGGTAGTACTATTTGTGCATAAACTGACGGCCGATGCCTAGATCCGTCACTGGTTAAAATGATAGTGAACATTTACAAAATACTCCGTTAATTTTTATGGCAGGTTAACGCTTTGTAACATTTGCATTGCAAATGATTCTGAAGTATTTAATGGGGGCACTCTAATTTTTTGTTGGGGCACAATTGATTAATTGACAAAAAGTTGGAAAAAAAACCTAAAAAGCCAAAGGTTATTGGGGGGCAAGTGCCCCTATTGTTTATAGGGTGCATCCGCCCCTAATATGTAGTATGTTTCAATTGAACTTTACATTGTCATGAGTCAACTGTGTGTATTAAAAGGTATTCAATTTTAAAAAATACTTTTTGGAGTATATCTCAACCAGAAAAATTGATACGACGAGAGTATGAATTGTAGTCTAATACATAGTAGAAGATTGTGGGCTATTTCAGATTGATATTTTACGTACATACTTCTGGGTGCAAATTTTGGCCCTCATAAACCATAACGTGTGACAAAACCTATCGACGAGTTATTCTATCTCAAAGTTCGTATCAAAATAGCGACAGCCGTTTACAATATCAAAATCAAAAGTTTTTTAACAGTCTAGACTATAGAGAGGTGAATATCCAGTTGTTATATCGTTGGAGCAGCTCATGATGAGTATAGTACTTCCACGTGTGAACATTTTTTGTGTTTCAGTAACAGAATGTTGTTACTCGTGCATAAAGCAATGTAACTCACGTTGAAAGAAATGTAACTGTAGGTCAGTCAAAAGGGAAATAAAACAATGATTCAATGTGTAAACAATGAAAAAAGTTTAATTCCTCAAATATTTTATGTAAATAGTGAATATGTTTTGTTTATAATATGAGGGTCATTTCTTTATCTAATTTTTTTTTTCAATTCTTTTTTTTTGCCAAAAAAAATCTCTTTTTTGCCAAAAAAAAATACTAGTACATTTTTTTTTGTTTCAGTAACAATGGTTTGTTTTGTGATGTAACTCATGTTATGACAATTCACGTTGATGAAGAATGTAACTTAGATTTATGTAAAATGTAACTTTTGGAGGCAAGTTCAAATGTAACTGGCGCATAATTAGAAGATGTAACTTGAGTATAAAAAGATATAGCTTGCTCTTAAAAAGATGAAACTCGGGCATAAATGGCAGTAATTCACGCATGAGAAGATGTAACTCACGCACATGAAAATATAAATTTTCTAATACATGATATATACCTTGAAGCAATATGCAGGTCTTCATAAAAACATAAATTTTTATTTTAGATTAGTTATAAAGTTAAGATTACTTATACTATTTATATGTGTGACAATGCTAAATCACCATCTACATTAAAAGAGATAAGTTCCAAATTCAATTGGGTGCTCCATTTCAAATCCAAAAGTGCAAGAGTTCGCTACGCCAGCATCTCAACAAAGTTTGTGTAGTATTAAGAGTTCTATTAACATGCAGTGAGTCACCTATTTATGTGTTTGACAAAATTAGTAGTTCACGCTTAAAACGACCACTATTTATGTTTTATTTAAAGAAATTCGTAAAAGCTAAGTTAAAAAACACATTACACTACTGGAAGCCCAAAATTAGTAGTCACGCTTAAACATAACGATCACTATCAATGTTTGATTTAAAGAAATTCGTAAAAGCTAAGTTAAAAAACGCATTACACTGCTAGAAGCCCAAAATTAGTAGTCACGCTTAAACATAACGATCACTACCAATATTTGATTTAAAGAAATTCGTAAAAGCTAAGTTAAAAAACGCATTACACTGCTTGAAGCCCAAAATTAGTAGTCACGCTTAAACATAATGATCACTATCAATGTTTGATTTAAAGAAATTCGTAAAAGCTAAGTTAAAAAACTCATTACACTGCTGGAAGCCCAAAATTAGTAGTCACGCTTAAACATAACGATCACTATCAATGTTTGATTTAAAGAAATTCGTAAAAGCTAAGTTAAAAAACGCATTACACTGCTGGAAGCCCAAAATTAGTAGTCACGCTTAAACATAACGATCACTATCAATGTTTGATTTAAAGAAATTCGTAAAAGCTAAGTTAAAAAACGCATTACACTGCTCGAAGCCCAAAATTAGTAGTCACGCTTAAACATAACGATCACTATGAATGTAAAAACACATTACAGTGGTGAAAGCCCACCTTTTTAAAACATGATGATTGTAGTTAGTTTCTTCATTGGTAAAAAGGATAGATATCTGACTGAGTGACTCCAACCTCATACAACCCATGCGGCATTACATCGAAATAAAGAAACCCTTTAATTTTTATGTGTGGCTAAATATGGAAAATAGGATTAGCTTTAATGAGATACGAATACATTTTATGATTTTTATCAATAAAATAAACAATATAAATATTCTCAATGATGAGCTCTAATTTAGGATGTTTTCTTTTAGACTGAAATTTGCCGGTCTGGTCTGGTCTGGTAAACGTCTAGTCTCTGTGAATTTTATGACTACGGAAGTCTGGTCTGGTCTGGTCTGATCTGATCTGATAAACATCTGGTCTCTGTATATTTGATAACTATAGAAATGTGGTTTGGTTTGATCTGGTCTGATCTGGCCTGGGACTGAAAACAGTCCAAAAGAAAACATCCTAATATACCCTCCATCTCATGGAGCTGTGAGCCTGTGAAAGAAAAATATGACGCATAATATTTTGATAAGGTTTTCACATTTTTATTAAATATACAAAAATTCTGATATTAATTTTTGTGTTTTATAATTAATTTTATACATCAACATTGATTTTAGTAAATAAAACAATTTTTTACATCAACTATGATTTTAATTAATATTTTGTTAGGACCCGATGTTCCATCATAATAGGTTAATCGGATAAGAGTAATAACCCAAGATCTCAATATATTTGGCAGAAGGGTGAAATTAGACACCATAGTTACACATGAATATCATATTTGACATTAGGTTTCAAATGAATCAAATTGGACATCAAGCATATACATTCTAAAAGGCGCTAAACACTAGTCGAGAGTCAGCCCAGTGCCTAGCGCATTAGCGCCTAGACGTCTTAGACGCGGACTAGTCGGAGACATAAATTTATAATTTTATCAATGTTTTTTCATAAATACGATCAGTAATGTTATGTTTGTGTGTGTATAAAACATAGATACACACATACACATACATATTAAGATGCATGAATGATAAAGTTGTCACATTTAATAGTATGTTATATCTACTCATTTAACTTCATTATGTAATAAATATTATTAAATAGTAATAAAATTTATGATTATCATTGAGAATTAAAGCTAATCCTAAAACCCTAACCCCCATTTTCAAAGGCCCCGATCCCCCCCCCCCCCAAATCCCAAAGAAATCTGATAAGTCCGTATTTAGACACGCATTTGATGTGTGTTGGGATTGGATTTTGATGGTTTTCCTAGATTTAAGGTGTTGCAAGTGTCAATTTTAGCTCAAGTTATGTTTACCAGGCGTTGGTTCGAGTTTTGTGTCATTTGGAGTCAAAATCAGGAATTTAGAGTTCGGCACCGGTGCTTGAGGAGAAATCGGGATGATTCTAGAAGCATTCGAGATTGATTTAAGAGCTTTGGAGGTCAGCGGGAGGTTAACGATGAAGATTTGATGACAAAAGAGCTCTAGGATTGGCTACGGGATCAAAAGAAGACGAAAAGAGCTTGAAAACGACGATCAGGATGACCTTCTGTCAATCGTTCAAGCATATCTCTTTGTAGAAATATCCAAAGAACACGATTCAAGTTCCATATGAAAGCCAACTTCAATATCTACAAATCATATGAAGACACCTTTGCAGGAATCTGAGAGGAAGAAGGTGAAAACAGACGATCAAGTCAGATGATCTCTGCTGCGATTTTATAAAGACACCGTCCACCGTTTTTATCATATCTCCTTATTGGATGATTCAAATCACATTCGGCAAATTGGGGTGCATATAGGACTTCATTATCTACAACTTTCATGAAGGAAGCATTGCCAAATTCGGAAGTTATGTAGGCACGATCGTGCCCTAAAAGTCAGGCACGATCGTGCGTGAAGAGAAAGCATCGCGGAGCTACTGCTAGCCAGGCACGATCGTGCCTGGGGGGAGGCACGATCGTGCCTGCCCAAAATGCGCGTTTTTGCTCCGGATGCACGATTGAAGGCACGATCGTGCCTGGCATCATGCCTGTCTCCGGAAATCCCAATTCAGCTCAAATTTCACCCGATTTTTCTATTTAAACAACATGTAAACCCCCGTTTTAAAGAGGGAAGCTTAGAGAGAGTGCCTAGCACGAATTTTAGAGGGCTTTTCAGCCTTGTTCTTCAATCTTTTGGGATTCTTTGTAAGTTCCACCTTTTTAATTAATGACAATTAATTCTTTTTATTCCAATTCTATTGATACTTCAATTATGAATTGTGAGTAGTTTTAATTAGGGATTTGGGATTGATGAAGGGGTTGTTCATGATGTATGGCTAGATTCTTGATGGGTTAATTGCATGAATGTCGTTTAATTTGTGTTTGAAAAATTTAACTGATATCTCTTGTAATCTGGAACGGCCGCTAGAATTACAATTGCTTGTAGAATAAATTAAGAGAGATTTAATTTATTCTAGGACACATTCACAGGACACATTCACACACACTTAATCGTTCGCTAAGAGATTAGTAGCGATTAAGGGGCCGTAAGCTCGCTCGTCTTGGCAATAATTTAGGATCTTGTCACATGAGAGATCAGCCTGGTCCCCTAATTTATTGTACTCTACGCCGCGAGAGCGGTAAGAACTTAGTAATTAGCTAGGCTCAACTAAATCAATTTCATGTAATTAGGCCTGCGCTGATCAGCCAGAAATCTGGTTACCCCGGAATCAATCCATGTTCCGTTCGTCATTAATTAGAAAGAACCCCCTAGTTTAATCGTTTTATTCGCATTTTTATTTTCCAGCAACCAATCTCGCACGACGCATTTTTTTGTTTCTTTTTAATCGCTGAATTTAGTTAATATTTGATTCCCTTTTGTCCGTCCCTGTGGAGACGATACTCTTACTTACACCACTATATTACAATTTATTTTAAGTGCGAGAAAACACACATCAGTTTTTGGCACCGTTGCCGGGGACGGTGTCGGATTTGAGGATTAATTAATATCAGTGGGGACACAAAGAGATGACCTCCCACATGAGTGGGGGCCACCCCACGTTTTTATGTGCTAAACACATCAATTGAGGGCTGGGTTGACAAGAGGAAATGAGGAGGAGATGCATTTGGCATCAAAGGTACAATGGGGATGACCCATTCCCACATTATTTTAAGAGAAAAGCCAAAGAGACTATCTCCTCACTCACCCACCCCATAATTTCGACCAACCTATCAAAGGAGGAGGAAGAGGAAGCTCTCAAGCTATTCTCCATTGCTGCAACTCGAGCTCAAGCAAGAGTGGTCCAAGGAGGGGAATTAAAGAAGGGAAAAAGTGAGGAAAAGGGTGTAAAATTAAGGTAATGACCTTATTATAACTTTTCCTTTATTTTTCTTCTACCATATAAGATATATATATCATGTGAAGGATCCTTAAGAGGGTTCTACATGTTATAAGTATGGATTTATGGATTGGAAAGTGATTCTATGTCCAAGAACGGACTTAGAAGCCAAGACGACCGGTTCACCGGAAAATAACCTTTTTGAGGTTATTTGTATTCACATGGGTTTTATGATTATAAAACCTTGTTAGACACTTGTAAAGGGGATTTCAAGTGGTTTCACAAAGTTGGAAAAGTTGCCGGAGTTGTCGCCGGAGTCGACCAAAAGTCGCCGGAGTTTCACCGGAGTTCAACCAAGAA